TTGATTAACATAATGCTTTAATCTTTCTCTGACTTTCTACCTGTTGTTATCTCAGGATAACTCTAAAGCCTTCATTGCATCGTTTATCAAAATATTGTATATAAACAATATATCGAATTTTATCAGCAAATCTCTTTCTATCATATGATCACCAAAATCGTAAGATTTCCTTATCAAAAGTTTCCAAATTTTGGAGATTTGCTATAAGTAATTACAAATAAATCGTGATACGTCATGCATCACGCTCTCTATTATTTACAATTATTCAAATTGGTATACCTTATGAATTTTCGGCAGACCATATGAGTCTCGCTGAAGAAGTGCGTTCATTTTTTACTTTTCCAGTTTACGCATTGTTGAAGAAAACTCTTAAGTCTGACTTTAAGGCTTTTGTTGGGTCCTTAATTATTGTTTCATCATCTAATGCCTATAACCTTTTCTTTACATAATCCGTCCTCACCATAATTACTAGGGCTCCTCTTTTTTTTTTCCTAATTACTAATTGGTCATTCGCCGTAAGCTTCCTTTTAATAGTATTAACTTATTAAGTATTGTTTTGAGACTACCAGTAAATCAGTAATATGAGATGTACTCACCCAATTTCGCTTAAGGTGATGAAGGACTGGTAGAAGAATTTTCCCACAATGATATGAGTAAAGTTTACGTTTCTATTGAATTTCACAGAGCCTTGCCTTCCCAAAAGTTGTTCTCATCCAGATGGGACTGAAGTTTTGATTTCGCATCGGTCTTATCAACGCCCACAGTGGGAGTCGAACTGTAACATTGCAGAATGCGAGCTTGACACGCTAACCACTCGGCCACATTGCCACGAGTGCCTTTGGGTCAAAATGCAAATTTGAATTTCAAGCAAGGCCAAGACTGTCATGAATCCTCTTATTTATTCTTTGGAGCGTAAAGAAGTTCTCTGAACTAAGAGCCTTTGACAAGATCTGTCTGAGTCTTGTCTTAATTTTAGTTAATAATTGAATCCTTGCAATGTTTTTCATAAGTCAAGGACTTCTTTGCACAGCACAACAGTCTTCACTACGACGCAATCCTCCTTCGGTTTCCGATAAAACCATCTTACGAACCCCTTCCAGCAAAATTTTTCTTCGAAATGCATAGTCATGTCACATTAAATATGACATGTTCGGAATTTCCAAGATGTTCGAACACTGTAATTGAGGAAAAGTTGGGTTTCGAGGAATCTCTTGTTTCATAATTGTTGGGATTACTTCCATTTCGAGTAGAAG